AATAGACCCATATAAAAATAACCATGCCCATGTAAACAAAACTCAAAAAGTGAACCTGAGCTTTTTTTCATGGTGTTTTTTGGGGCTCCCCTAAAATGGGTCTAAAATCACACCTGGTTAATGGTGGGGTGCCTTCCTCAATGTGCATACGTATCACATCAGTGCATTTTTCACTTATGCAAAAATAAATGGAGTTGTAAAAGCTTTAGGTGTGTGAAAATGTTTAGAGCTGTTATGTAAACAATATTTCTTGTTTTTTTTGTGTCCATTGTGTTCCAGCTCCACAAATGGAAACTTCTTGAGCGGCATCCCATCCTCCTTCTTGCCAAGAGAGGCACAAATGGTTTTGCGGCCGATTGCCTCTGTCCATGGCAAATTGAGACAGAAGATGGTAACAATGCACTTGTTACCATAAAGAGGATTTACGAAAGCCTTCTTAATGGTAAAGTATAAAAATCCACATGCTATATTTTAAGCCAAAAGTCAAAAGCAATTTATCGCTTAACATTTTTTGTAAATTAATTGCTCAGTTATTTTGTTTTAAAAAAACATGTGAATCACTCTTTACCAAGTAGTACAAATATGTCGTTATGTCTTGTTTTGTCAGTTAAAGGTCCCATGTCATGCTTTTCCGGTTATCACCCGTCCCCTTGTGTTATGTAGCTTTTTCTGCATGTAAACGGTCTGCAGAGTCAAAAACCCTCAAAGTACACCCTGTAGCGAGTAAAACTCTAACACAGAGAAGACCTGTCTGTGCTGCCCCAGAACGCCTCGTTGGACATTTCTCTTTTTCCATTGTTTACTTCCTGAGTATAGTGATATAGTGTTTAGGACAGAGAGTGAATACACAGAGATGCTGTATGAGAAACCAATGTGAGTTTGGAACATTGATCAATATAAATCTATTCTAGTAAACCTCAACAATGGAATTATGATCAGTAGAAATGGCCATGACATGGGACCTTTTAAACTAGAAGGAAAATACAAAGAAATTGTTCACATGTGAGAATCTAATGATGACATGTTTTTACTGAAAGGATTACTCAAAACAATAAGCAATTATAGAAACAGCTGGTCAATCATTTTAAAGTTAACAATGAATCAACTAATAATCACCCTTACTTATATACTGATAACAATACTAATAATAACATTACGTTTTGTGGGACTATGTTTTTCGTAAAAGCTTAGCAGCACAACTATTGGTGGATTGCTGCACTGGTTTTCTCATCCTAACATTGAAGTCTTAAATGCTTGATTCATAAAAAACAATCAATATTTGTAGTTTCATTTTTAGCTGTAATTACTCAGATTATAAATGTATATGGATTATACTTGGTCATTTATTCACCATGCCTCTACTTTTTTTTCTTCTCAAAAGTGACTTTGGCAGTTGAACCACAGGCAGAAATGGCCACAGACCCAGGATCAGATTCCTTGTCTGTACCTCTCTCCTCCAGCCTGACTCCTGCTCTCTCCTCCAGCCTGACTCCTGCTCTCTCCTCCAGCCTGACTCCTCCTCTCTCCTCCAGCCTGACTCCTGCTCTCTCCTCCAGCCTGACTCCTGCTCTCTCCTCCAGCCTGACTCCTGCTCTCTCCTCCAGCCTGACTCCTCCTCTCTCCTCCAGCCTGACTCCTGCTCTCTCCTCCAGCCTGACTCCTGCTCTCTCCTCCGGCCTGACTCCTGCTCTCTCCTCCAGCCTGACTCCTCCTCTCTCCTCCAGCCTGACTCCTGCTCTCTCCTCCGGCCTGACTCCTGCTCTCTCCTCCGGCCTGACTCCTGCTCTCTCCTCCGGCCTGACTCCTGCTCTCTCCTCCGGCCTGACTCCTGCTCTCTCCCCCGGCCTGACTCCTGCTCTCTCCTCCGGCCTGACTCCTGCTCTCTCCTCCAGCCTGACTCCTGCTCTCTCCTCCGGCCTGACTCCTGCTCTCTCCCCCGGCCTGACTCCTGCTCTCTCCTCCGGCCTGACTCCTGCTCTCTCCTCCGGCCTGACTCCTCCTCTCTCCTCCGGCCTGACTCCTGCTCTCTCCTCCGGCCTGACTCCTGCTCTCTCCTCCGGCCTGACTCCTGCTCTCTCCTCCGGCCTGACTCCTCCTCTCTCCTCCGGCCTGACTCCTCCTCTCTCCTCCGGCCTGACTCCTCCTCTCTCCAAAAAAAAAGCCAAGGATACAGGTGCCTGCGCTCAGTCAGGACAAAACTGATCAACTGGCTCAAAGTTATTGGCCTTGAAAATATTTCGCCAACAATATATACATATGAAACGCTCTCACACACACACACCATATGAAAGGTTCCAGGATAATAGATCAACTCAGTGAAAGCACCGCCTGGTGACCAATCAGAGCTCAGTGTGCAGAGTCGACGTTCGCTACACACAGGGCCTCATCATATAACTTTGCGTGGGGCCACAAGTTGGCCAGGGGGTGCATGCAGAAGTATTATTTTAAGCAACACATTAATGATCTTAGATTTATTTTTCTGATAGAAAGGGACACCTAGTGGTTAAAGCACGTTATTGAATTGTATTATTTTTCACAAAAATGAAACCATCAATAGCAAAAACTGAATTAACTGTCATTAGTAAACCACTCAAATAAAAAGATCATAAGTGGTTTTGTTTTACATATATTTTAAGGATAATAATAGCAATGTAATTATGTGTCTATGACACTTATAACACTGATTTGAAAAACATACAGAAACAATTAATTCACTGCCCTTAATAAAGTATTTAAATATACATTTCAGGTGTGCTGTTTTGTTAAGTAATGGATATTGAATATGGAATAAAGGTTTTGACAAGACCTGGGGTAACAATAATCAAAAAGGACATTAAAAGAGCTCCAGATGTTAATTATCTGTTTTTGCAAAAATAAAGTACACAAAGTTGATTCTCGACTCTTTAAACACAGGTGATTGTATTCTTGTAAAAGTAACAATAACAAGCTCCATTTTCTATCTCCAGTCCGACTCATATTCATATGCAATGTGTTTGGTTCTATGCAAACTCAGTAATATCCATTGTGATACAGTTATAAGGCCTTCACATGAGACTGTCAGTGGAAATTAAAGGAGATCAGGAGCTCACGTCTTCTCAGAGTCATCATCATCATCATCATCATGTTCTCTGCTGCTGCTGCTGCTGCTGCTGCTGCTGCTGCTGCTGCTGGCAGCTGGAAGTGAGTCAACACTTATTATACTGCTGTTTAACAGGATAATCTGTCATATAACATTTTTTTTATTTGTACAGGTGTGAAGTGTGAACAGTTGACACAGCCTCTGTGACTGTGCAGCCAGGTCAACGTCTGACCATCACCTGTCAGGTCTCTTATTCTGTTTAATAATAATAATAATAAAATTCAATAACGTGGTTTAACCACTAGGTGTCCCTTTCTATCAGCTGTGCACCGTTATGGTGTAAATACAGCCTATCTACCAATTGGATCAAATATAAAAGTCAGCCGAATTAGTGTTGATACTGCAAGGAGACGTATTGTGTGAAAATAAATCTAAGATGTTGTTTAATTGCTGATATATGTATGATCCACTTCACGTTTTCAGTTTTGGCAGCAGTTCTCCTGTTTGTCTAGAAGTCTTCTCATCAGGGCTCTATAAATAGAGAACTACGGCAGATATGTAATATTTAATGCAGCCGAACCGTGTATTACAATGCCGTTATGTGATGACTTTCAAAGAGAAAAGCAAGCACACTCAGAATAAAGTATTATTTTAATGTTTTCGGATTTCACATTGCATAAACACCATTTCCCAACGTGCATTGCGGCTAAACCATCGAATCACCGAGCTGAGGTCTGTTTCCGGTATTGTTTTTGACAGATGTATTTTGTTATACACACACATTCCTTCACATTTAAATTTACATTAAAGTATTTCGTGAGGCCATATAAAATGTTTTTAAATATGACTACTGTTCGAGTTGAAGAGTTTGTAAATTAACATGAACCGAAGCTGTTGCCTGGTAACACAAACGCACAACGTCACGTCCGTTAATTCCACATCCACAGATTAACATCGATTTAATAAATTAATGTAGCCTTTGTTTCTGCTAAAAGAGGTGTCGACCAGCAAATCAAGAAAATCGGCGAAATCGAGTGTGACTATTACAAATTAAATCATTATTTTATTAATATTGATAATAATAACAACCGACCGTCGGGGTAGCATTTGCTTGGCATTTCCGGGTATATCTCCACTGGTTGGGCCATGTTAACAATACTGTGTAATTGTCACGTTTGAAGGGACAACATCGTGACATCTTCACGTCTCCCAGCATGGTAAATCGTCACATGTTCACGTCTTGCCTTGATACCGGGTTGTGCTGACCATGTCCATGCCTTTATGACAACAGTGTACCAATCTTCTGATGGCTACTTCCAGCAGGATAACTCACCGTGTCACAAAGCTCAAATATTCTCCAACTGGTTTTGAACATGACAATGACTTTTACTCAAATGGCCTCCAGTCACCAGATCCAAATCCTACAGAGCACCATTGGGATATGGTGGAACCAGAGATTTGCGTCATGGATGTGCAGCTGACAAATCTGCAGCAACTGCGTGATGCGATCAGGTCAATATTGAGCAAAATCTCTGAGGAATGTTTCCAGTAGCCTACCTTGTGTAATCTATGCAATGAAGACTTAATGCAGTTCTGAAAGCAGATGGGGGTCCAACCCATCCTAGCAAGGTGTACCTAATTAAGTGGCCGGTGAGTGTATTACTTAGGTCCATTTGTATTGTTAGTGTGTGTCTGTAGGAGTAAAGTCTAGACACATTCTTTGGATGTAAGCATTGGTTAATTAAACAGATCATGATAATAAGGGTAATCACCAAAACCTTATACCAGGGGTGGGGAACCTCCGGCCCTCGAGGTAACTCGGATCCGAAGCTGACTGATAACTGCTAATGGCATTTAGTTGAATACCAGACATAGTAAATGCAAAGCAGGATAATACAAAAAAAAGGTAATAAACAAGCCATTAAATCGTAATACTCGTTTTAATACGTTCACATGCATACAACACAATACAATAGACTTGTTAAGTCCTGTTCGTTGTCCTGTTTGTTGTCCTCATCACCGTCGTGTTCGTTGTCCTCATCACCGTCCTGTTTGTTGTCCTCATCACCTTCCTGTTTGTTATCCTCATCACCGTCGTGTTTGTTATCCTCATCACCGTCCTGTTCGTTGTCCTCATCACCTTCCTGTTTGTTGTCCTCATCACCGTCGTGTTCGTTGTCCTCATCACCGTCCTGTTCGTTGTCCTCATCACCTTCCTGTTTGTTATCCTCATCACCGTCCTGTTCGTTGTCCTCATCACCTTCCTGTTTGTTATCCTCATCACCGTCGTGTTTGTTATCCTCATCACCGTCCTGTTCGTTGTCCTCATCACCTTCCTGTTTGTTGTCCTCATCACCGTCGTGTTCGTTGTCCTCATCACCGTCCTGTTCGTTGTCCTCATCACCGTCCTGTTCGTTGTCCTCATCACCGTCGTGTTTGTTATCCTCATCACCGTCCTGTTCGTTGTCCTCATCACCTTCCTGTTTGTTGTCCTCATCACCGTCATGTTCGTTGTCCTCATCACCGTCTTCAATGTCTTCCTCCATCATGAGAAAAGACGAGTCCGTGCCAATACAGCTGTAGGTGCTGGTGACTCTGCTCAGTTTCTGCTCCAGAAGATATTGATGGTGTAAAAGACAGCAGTGCAGTCCCCTGTATCCCTCTTCTGTTATATCGCTTGGAGAAACTAAAATAAAAAGACAAAATGACAGTCTATGTAAGGCAACTTTTAATTAGCATTGATGTTGGTTCCATATAAGCAATTTTAATGTTTAACTCCGAGGCTGTATATTAGCTAAAAAGATTTGTGATTCAGAAAAAATGCAATCATTACAGATGCTATTCAGTGACAGACGTTTGACACTGACCAGAAGGGGCAGTGGCAAATGTTATAAATCGGTATTTGTGGAACATACTTTGGTTCCTGATGTCGTCTTTTGTCTGATGAAGGAGGTGGTCCAGTTTGTCCAGTGCCTGCCTCAGATTTTGACAATGCTGGGTCATCTCCTTCACAATGATGACTTTCTCCTCTTCCATACGCCTGACCAGCATAACCTGGTCAAAAAGTCGCCTCTTTGTGCGCAGGTTCACCACTATAATGGAAAAAAAACAAAATATGACAACACAAACACAATGGTAAGGCTAATAAAACAAATAATATCTGTTTGCATTCAATCTTTTTAACTTAAATTGCCCAAAACCTTGAAATCTGGTAAAAAATGTCCAACCTCGCCGCTTGCTGAATTTTTTCAATTCTGTCTATGTTGGCAGAATTACATTCAGTATGTCTTGAGATTCAACATTAGTATGCAGTTCAGGGTGGTCAGGAAGGGTTTTACTGTTTCCATAGATGTGCCTGTCCCAGTGAGACTATAGCATGACTATTAAGACTTGATAGGGAAACATCATACAGACCTTTCAATATAATTATTTCAAAATGCTTTGTTGTGATCATGATGATTTGTGACACCTATGTTGACAGCTCTGTGTTACATTGGTGATTGTATTCTAGTACTACAACTGAATTTATGGAATATCTAGGGCAAACAAAAACAAGTTGTTTCTTACCATCTCCTTGCGCTTCCCAGGGCAGAATGACATCCTCAGACAGACTGCATGCTGCTTCTGTGTCAATTGTCTCTGTACAGGTATCAATGGTGTTGTACTGCAGTATCCTCTCTCTGAGTTTATTCTTGAGCTCTGTCAGTCTTCTCCGTTTGCGTTGCCTTGTTTGGTTGCTGTCTGTAAAGTAAAAATAATAATAATACTAACAATAACAACAACAAGAAACAAATATTGTTTCTAGATAACGTAATAATAAATACCATTTTGTCGATAGAGGTCGTGTTTCTTTCTTCGGAGGGAATAAATAATGTCATCTATTTCTCTCTGGAGCTCCTCCTGGCTGCTCTGGCCTCCATGTTTCTCTTGAAAACAGAAACAACCAGGTATAATCATAAAACATGAAGCCAAATGTTTGGAAATATGGAACCAAATCTATACCACAGTGATCATATAACATACCAGTGGCTGCCCATTGCTTGACCTCCAACACCCACTGCTCCGTGTCCTCCAGGGAGATGTTCAGCTCTTGCTTGAGACTCTCAAGATTGTCCACTTCAGTTTGTGCTCTCTGTGTAGTCTGGTTAGAATGTTTAAAAGCAGAAAGTGAATATGCGTTCCAGTTGGTTGAGAAGGTTGTTTTTTACTGAATTCCTTTATGAACATTAACTGACCAGACAACAACATGAAATGCTAAACACCTTCTCTTCAAGGTTGGCAAGTATCACCTTAGAGTCCCTTTTCTTTTTTTTAAAAGATCAAGCAGGATTAACATGATTATTATTATACAGAAATTCAGATGAATCAACCTATAGTGCTTAATTACAAACAACAGAACAGAGACTCTCTTGGCAGAGCAGTGTGCTATGGCAGCACCATCATAATGAAATTATTGCAGAATATATTTTATTCAACAACATGTAGCCAAGGATGGTGTTAAATTACTACAACAAGAAACTCAGATATTCTTAATGTACATTTTGAAATGCAGCATGGACGTCTTACTTTGACAAATCTCTTTGAGAGTGTCTTGTGGAGATTCTCCACCTTCCTGTGGTTCCATAGCATAGCCAGCACGGTTATCATATCTGCTCTAGCTGTAAACACAAAAACATGAGAATTCACATCAGCTTTACAATGTGACACTGCTTAAAACAATTTGTTTTCCTCTACCAACCTGATTTGGTCATGTATTTTGTTGTCAGAGCTGCCCTTGAGAGGAAGCTGTTAACCTGTTCCACTTCCTAACAGTATTTCCAGCACCTTCCTGGCTTCTGCCACCCCACTTCACCTGCTCAGAATCATAAACAATGAGATCTAGATATTTAGTTCAATATTATAATTTCTTGTACTGTACATCTTTAGTTAACATCAGTGTCAGGAGAAATTTCAGAAAGTTAAAATGTTCTGAGATTGAATTATGCTTTGAGCTACAATGTCACAACTGCAGTTATTTGAAGCTCTGTTCATTCATTATTTCTACAGTGCGGATATATTTACTAAAACAACATAATGGGTTTTGGAAGCCTATCCTTGTGACAGTCTGTTTTGTAACAATTTTGTCAACATTTGTAACTATTACAATTATTCCACAGGCTTGAATAGAATATACTACATGATATTCTTATGTGCACTACAATTTCTAAAACATTTGAATCTAGTCACACAAATGTTTAACTTGCATACTGTACCTCGCATTTGCCTGTGTGGGCCTTGGCGTGCATTACAGAGAGAAAAGGTTTCATCTCTGTAAGTGGTTGGAGCTCTGGCAACTTTGCTGCCATCTTCTCCAAATAAGGCCAGTACCTGTAATGACAAAATCAATTGGCTTTTCCAGTTGCATGATGGCATAATAGTAAAAAGATAAATCAGGTCCTTAAAATTACCAGTACAATCCTTGTAACCAACATCAGCATTTATCCAAATTAATGCTTTTTTGCTTTACATCTACTGGATGTGCAAGAATTAAATAGATAACACGTTTCACACAAACACTTTGCATTTTGCAATAGTTATAACTACCTGCAGGCAACATCCATACAAAAGAATGTTGCATTCGCAACTTCAGCCAGCTCCTTCTGCAGGAACATTGGGTAGGCATATATTTCACCACGGTAGTGATTTAGGCCTTGTAGCAAGATGCCATGTCTGCACACAGCTATTTGCAGGCCTTCCTCGTCCACCTTGGCCCTGGACTTGTGTGAGGTTTCTCTGCAAGCTGTGAATGTTGCCGGTCCACAAACATCACGACCACTTTTCTGAAATAGACACAATCTGTTACATTTAACCCTGTGCTAAGTAAAATAAATAAAAGGGTTAGTGGGTTGAATAGATTCTTACAATCGTCATCTGGCTCCTGATTTTGTCGACAAAGGCAGACACTTTACTGTCCTGGGCAATGAACAGTCCATCAAATAGAGACGGTTCATCTGTCCTGCGAAATTCGAGAAATAAATTGTAAGCAACATTATCATACATACATAAGTTTGATTATGTCCTCTATTTGCTTTTGCTATAAATTTTTCATAAATGTGGAAAAGGCCTTTGTGAATTTGATCTGTAATTTTGTGTAAAGCCTTTTGTCACCATTATTTAACATTAGTGAAAAGTTTACTGACTTCTTGTAGAAAGGTACAAATAAAAGTACATCCTTTATATTGCTGGGCATGGAATAGGGCAGAGGAAGGCAGAGAAAAAGGTTCCTGGACAATTTAATACATTTATCATGAAGCGATTATATCCAAAGCTGGTTCTTAGCTCCAACATATCCAACTAACGTCAACCATTTAACATTTTAAAGTTGAGCTAACTTTACAGGCGTCATATACAATAATGTTTATGAATTGGATTGATATAATTATGTGTAATTACAAACCAACTATTGTTTTCTGATGGTCTACAAACTTTGGAAAATAAAAATAAATTAAAAAATTGGAAAGTTGGGGAAAGTTAAACATTTCAGCAAAGACATTCAGCTTAGTCAATAAAACAACAACTAAAATGAGAATATGATTTCACTGACCCTCTGGACTTCTTGAAGCGATAATGCTTTCTCTTGCCATCTACAGCAATAGCCAGCATGTCAGGTGTGCATGCTGGGCATTTAAAGGGCTCCACCAGGCACAGATCTTCTTGTCTGTAATTACAGAAGGCAAACTCCCGAAAGACTCTGTGGAAGGTATCGCTACAGATTCTGCCTGTCTGGAAACAAGAATGGTATTCATTTTGTTAATTCAAAGTTTGGTATTCAAAAATCTTGAAAACCACATTTTATTCTTACCCTTCCTGTGGAAAACGATCGATGTTCAAGCATTTTTATAAATACTTGCTGGGATAATGCTGGGCTGGCCAATTTCATTTGCTCGAATGATGTGAACACATCAAACTTAAAAATAATTTTGCAGCTGTCGGTTGCTGGCCAGTATTTGTATCCAAGCAAGTCACCTATGCTCGGGGACCATTTGGTGGAACAAGTTGGACAGCACACAGAAGGCAGGCAAACGTTATGGACCTGAGAAAAAATATAAATGTGCAATTTGACAGGTATCTATGCAACGCAGGACAAAAGTATAATAGTAATCCTGTATTTTTGCTTGACCACATCGTCTTCTGGTGGCAACAAACCATTGATAGTCACCAACACGGTCTGCTTTCCTGGGATGATGGTGAAATCTTGGCTTGGACCACAGAAGCAGATTTGGGATGGTGGAGGAATTGGAAGCAGACACACTGCAGCAAAGACAATTTCAGAGATTCATATGCATGTTAGGACATGTAGTCAATACAAATTGAGACATTTGAATAGTTAAAGCAAACTTCCGACATGGTGAAAATGATGCCGCTGTATATGTAGTGCACATTAGGAAACCATGGTAAGGGAATATGTAATAAACTATTTGAACCCACCTTGTTCACAGAGTCCATATTGGCCACTTTCATCCACAACCACTAAGGATGTGGGAGGAATAGGTCTGTAAAACCCATCAATCATGGCTTCCCTGTCATGGAAGACATTTTTGCCATGGATAATTGGGTCACATGCCGGACAAAGAAAGGGAGTTCCTGGTGGAACACAGTCCAAGCACCGGACCACAGCATCAGCAGTTTTGCATTGGAGACAGGAACGTTTAGTGACAATCTCTGCAGCCAATTTCAAATTAAGGAGCTCTGGCATTGCAGCTCTGAATTTTTGTTCACGTTTCAACTGTCTTTGGGTCCATGTTGTTACAGTGGGTGTTTCTTCTGATGATGCAGGGACAGTGAGAGAACCCAACAGGTTTCTCAGTGTGAGAAGATGTTGATCTAAAATAACAAAATATAAAACAAATCATGGAATTTAGTTTAATTAAAAAAAGATATTCCATACTTATACATATTTGGGTCGGAAAACAATCGACCTATTTGGTCGTATTAGTTGGAGGACTTGTTGATGGCTTTTCACTTTAAAATGTATCATGAACATAGCTATTACATACTATAAACAATTAGCTACATTTCAAGTTGAAGGATAATTTAAGAATTCATTGTGCATACCAAGACTTGGGACCTGTAGAGGAATCTCATGTGTCTCCTCGACCTCTGGGGACTCCAGAGAGCTGGAAGGTTTAACTGCATAAACAAAGTACGATGATATAGGAAACATTATTGAAGACCAACGACATTAAAACTTAATGAAACACTAGAACTAGATGATATTGTACAGACCAGATCGATTCTTATTCCAATGTTGGGGTAGAATGTTCCCATCCAGGTCCCTCTTCCTCCAGGACATATTTGATCCTTGCGTTATTTTCTTTGGTTTCTTCGGTTTCTTCGGTTTCTTTGGTATATTAATATATAAAAGAGATTAGATATATCCCTTAATTGTTGCACACAAATCTTTGTAATGTGTGTGTCTTTTATCATTTGAGTAAATGTTATAATACATATTTGGATAATGTTGTACTTGCCTTATTTGCCAACTCATCTGAGAGGGCTTTCCCCACCTCTAGCCATTCATTCAGTTGCTTGGATGCCATTTTTAAGTGAGGGTAAAAAGGGCAACAACAAACAAAGGATGAACTGACATACAGCGAGGGAGAAAAACAAAACAAAAGACAAGAAAATGAGAGGGGTGAAAGAGAGTAGGAAGAAGAATATGGCTCTGAAAAGAACCGTTGATTTTTTTATGATAATAGGCTATTTCAAATAATTGAATTGATGGATGACCTGAAAAATAACAAACAGATTAACTCAGATTAGTTGTGCTACCATGTCTTTTAATTGTTGTTTCATAAATAAACATTTGTCTAAATAAAACTACAGGCACCAATGTCAATCAAGTCCCAGGTAAATCAGTAATTACAGGGAAATATATTTCTCTTTTTAACTAGATGTGATGGCTTCACAAAACTTAAGTTGAATTAGCGAATGTTTAAAGTAGTAAAACTACTATGACCTGATTATATTACAGTGTTGAACTTACCTTAACTATCATTAATGCAACATGTTAGGTGACATTTAGAAGAAAAAAAAGTGTGTGCATTATGAAAAGCGCCATGTAAATGTCTATTATTATTATTATTATTATTATTAAAATGCCATTTCCTTTCGCATTGTTTAAGGTCATATCATGTCCTGGTCTGGCTGAATATACATACTTTTGCCATTGTTATGTTTTATGTCACGTGCTACAAAGGGTTTTGTTTTTAGGCAAGATTTTAGCTGCTTTTGTGCGAAGGAGAAAACTCTCCCTCCAACTTGTTGCAGAAGAACCTTCTTATATTGCAATACATATCCGTTAGCGCATCTGTACCTAAGCTAAGTGCTAACCTTTGCAACCATGCTATTGCTAACAACAAGCATTCGCATATACTGCCTATGCCACGGGCCAGCCCTAAAACGTAAAACTGAAATATCGTGGTTAAACATGATTTGTAGACAAACGACAGGATTAATTAAAAGCGTAAACAAATCAAATGAAATACAGAAATCAGATTTACCACTTGTACAGCTGTGACGCTCTTTAACAATTCTTCTTCTTCTTCTTCTTCTTCTTCTTCTTCCACTCGTCGCACTTTTATTGATGCCCAAGGTTAAAGTTCACGGGATTACGATCCGCCAGGAGTTGCTAAATTTAATACATGACAATAGGTCGTAATAAACTGCTGCAAGAAATGAATAGACGGGAGCATGTTGTTTCTTACACGACCACTAGAGGTGCTACACTTTAAAACGTGGCTATGGGTCGTATTTGGGTCGGAAAACAATCGACCTATTTGGTCGTTTTTTGTAGGAGGACAGGCTGGGTTCAAAGGTGAATCATTGCGTCATCGTTTGCATCATGACGTAACCGTTACGTGCCTTCTTATGACCCACACAGCGTTTTACGTCGCTGATTTTCTCCACAACACCGCTCACAACAACATCAATAGAGGACTGCGTTGGGTTGTTTTTAATCATAAGAAACCAGATTAAATTAAATAACTACTTCTCCAACCTTGTACTTTTCTCCAGAGTGCCGTGGTGCATTGTTTATTAATGTGTTTCAGCTGCATTTACCGAGCACTGCTCGTCCACCGGAGTTTATTCTACTGTTAACTCGTGGCAGCGGCCGCTGAAAGTATTCACTGTCGGACTGTCACACAAGCAGCTGATACATATCCCCCATCACCCATCCCCATCAGTGAATGTGTGTCAGTCTGAATTGATGCTGTTTGGCATCACAACGCTGTTATGAACGTTTCTCTGGCATTCTACAGGTGATGTTAGCATAGCAACCAAAGCTAATCAGACTATCTTGACTACTAGTTGCTATCATATTGTGGCATAAGCCGTTTTCTACACGCATATTTTACCAGTGTAGTTTTCGTTAGGATTTTACTCCTTTTATTATTATTATTATTATTATTATTATTATTATTATTATTATTATTATAATATAGTCGTTATCAATTTGTTTTAAAGCTCAATACATAACAAAGAAGACCTCTGATAGGCACTTTTATAATTTTGTCCGGAAAATTTAAACTTTAACGGAAACTCTGCCGCATGGTTCCCTTGGAAGAGGTGGGTGTTTTTCATCTGCTGGTGGACTACCGGAGAGATTTACACAAGCGGCAAACTCTGGGGAAGAGCCGGGACGCCAATACGGAAGTCCCACACACTGCAGTTCATATATTGGCCGATAGGCGATGGCTGCAGAAAGGAGCAATTTCCATAGACCCCCATGTTAAAATGCCCAATTTTACAGCAGAAAAAAACATGTTTCTACCCCTGGCTCCATACATTTTATTATCGATATAGTTAGATTCCACCTTCATGATTATGAATCTGTGAGTGAATTGTTTTCTAACGCGACCCTTTTATTTATATTAGGTCTTAAAGTTTGTGCATAAATTAGGGCGTGGTCACATTGAGTGACGGCTATGTCAAGTGACTGCTGCTGCTAGCTTCTTGTCTCTCTGCTACCTGCTCCGTGAAGCTAGCTACAGGGACTCTGCCTGCTCAGTTCATCCAGGAAACACAACTTGAAGCCGGCCGTGGTTGTTTGTTCTTCATGCTTATATATCGGACTATTGTGACTCGCTCTGCGGTTAAAACAGACGGTGCATGAATGCGGTAAGTGAAATTCGAGTGCTTTATTTATGTGTTAATGATGGTAAGGCTTGGTTAGCATGTAAGGGAGTGGTAGCTACATCGGTGCTAACGATGCTAATCGTAGCCTCCAAGTTAAAATCATAGATTGTATATATAAAGGTTAAAACGAAATAGACAAGTGTTAAGCGTTAAGTGGGATAATACTGTAGAACAAACGGCTTCTGTTTGAGGTTGATAAAATAAGGTCATCCTTGTAACTTAGAGATATTTTATTATGTTGCTCCTTTGAAAAAGAAGAAAATAAAACAACATAGATTAGCTCCATGGCATAATGCCGAAACCCGCAAAAGTCGAAACAACTTGAAAGGATATGGCGCTCCACTAAACTTGAAGAATCTCGTTTAATTTGGCATATTACTCTCAATGAATATAAGAAAGCACTGCGTAAAGCGAGAGCAGCCTACTACTCTTCATTAATAGATGAGAATAAGAATAATGCAAGATTTCTTTTCAGCACTGTAGCGAGGCTGACAGAGAGCCACAGCTCGATTGAGCCTTCTATTCCCATAGCACTCGGTAGTAATGATTTTATGTGCTTTTTTAACGATACAATTGTTACTCTTAGAAACAAAATTAATGACCTCTTGCCTTTGACCAGTATAGTGTTATCAACAGCTCCCGGAAACGTAAGTTCTAATATTACACTAGATAGTAAACAAGAATGCTTTTCAGCCATAAACCTTGAACAATTAAATGCAATGATTCTCTCTTCTAAACCATCAACGTGTATGTTAGACCCAATTCCAACTAAGCTGTTGAAGGAAGTTTTTCCATTAATTAGCACTTATTTATTAAATATTATGAATATGTCTTTATTATCAGGCTATGTTCCACAATCATTCAAAGTAGCAGTGATAAAACTGCTTCTTAAAAAGCACAACCTCGATCCAGAGGTTTTAGCCAATTATAGACCTATTTCTAATCTTCCGTTCCTCTCAAAAATTCTTGAGAAAGCGGTCGCAAAACAGCTGTGTGATTACTTAAAAAAACAATGATTTATTTGAAGATTCAGTCTGGCTTTAGAACACATCATAGCACAGAGACAGCTCTGGTTAAAGTCACAAATGACATTCTAATAGCCTCTGACAAGGGACG